GGAGAGCTTGGGGTGGAATCTTGAAGGGGCTTGGTGGTGCTTGTGCTTGGGGTGGTAGGGGTTGGAATGGGGTGGGTTGGTGGGTAAAGGGAATCGAAGTGTGTATGGGAGGGAATTATTGGATGGGATGGTTCGTATATCATGAGGGAGGGTTTAGTCTGACATGCATAGATTGTGAAGGCCTAGCTGCAGCGATGAAGGATGGGGCAAATCTTCTTCTTCTTGAATAGATCGCTTGCCTTACCATTACTGGTTATTCAAAGTTCAAAGAATTTTGAGTGAGAGTTGCGTAAAGAGTCATCTTGGTATTTCCTGTGCGTAGTTCTGTATAGTGAAATAAATCCTAAGACATTAAATAGAAAACAGCCGAAAGAGCCAGATCGTATCACCCATACAAACTGAAGAACATTTTCCATTTGCTCGACTCATACCCGACACACACGTGCGATACCCATGCCTCCGCGGACTCTAAAGATTTCCTTCCTTACAGAGAACATGCTAACACGAAAATGGCAACTTGAATGATACTTATAGCATAATCGGTATACAGACGTCATTAGAAAATGCAGAAAGGATTTGACCCCAGCCAGCACTATCGACTATGGAAATACTTCACTGCAGGGGCACTTATCTGCTCCATAGAGGATAATGGCGGAAGAAATGCAAGTCATGTTCAGCCAGAAAGTCAAGAGGCGACCCTGAATACCTCGTAAACATGACTAGTACAATCAGTTAGAGTTTGGATTTCAGGCTGATCAGGATCAGCGTCACAAGACAGACACATGACCAAGGGCAGTTTGTAAAATTTCATGCTTCGGGTGGAGTCGCTAGGCTAAGTAGGAGCTGTGCTTGTGTACCTTGGGCGCGCGAGTTTCCTATCCAAACCGAAGTCGTATGTTCAACAGGGTAAAGAGACCCATTTTCGCCACTGTAGACATCCCCATGGTACAGATATCTTCTAGACTCCACTGTTTTTTTTTCCTTGCCAAAAGTAAGCACAAGCGTAGGCTAGAACCCCGAGTGTGACTTGCCTTCCTAATGCAGGCTTGAAAAGTTTCTTCCATACTGCGCCTCAGCGGGTGCTTAACTAAACATGGTGATTTGAACGGTCAATCGGTGGCACATGGTTTTTCGTTTCGAGAAATTTTCTGTAATTGGCAGATGAAATAGGCAAAACTACTGCACGTCAGACAGACGCAGATTGCAGAGGACCAAGCCTCCACCAGCCAGTCGGGCCAGTCGGGGTCGCGGAGATTACGTCGTTGGCGGGGGCGGGGCAAGATGCGAGTCGTCGGCAGCGCAGTCGGAGATGCTCATTGATAACGGCCATAGTTTCGCCGAACCACGCGCCACTGCGACTTTGCATGTGCATGCTTCTCTTTTTCTTTGCTGTATGCCTCTTGTGAAATTCAACTTTCGAGCTTCGTGCCGTCCTGTCAGAACTCCAGTCGTCGCGGCATCCGCCCACCAAGTCTCACCTGCAGCTGCTCTGACTCGGCCGACCGTCTCTTTTGCGCAACAGCGCCACTTCCGTACCTCGATCCTGAGGATGCATGCACACGGTACTTCGAGTCATATGACATCTTCAGGCGATGACCTGAAGCTGAGGAACCGCCTCAATGAAAGCCGGAGTCCCTACGTCCGCGGCCACATGAACAATCCTGTCGCATGGCAAATATGGGGACCAGAGGCCATTGAACTCGCCAAGAAGTCAAACAGGCTGATATTCATCAGCATAGGCTATGCAGCTTGCCATTGGTGTCATGTCATGGAACGCGAGTCCTTTGAGAATGATGAGGTTGCGAAGCTACTCAACGAGCACTTTATTCCCATAAAGATTGATCGCGAAGAGCGCCCAGACGTCGATCGCATATACATGAACTATGTCCAGGCTACAACAGGCTCTGGAGGCTGGCCTCTGAACGTCTTTATCACACCCGATCTCGAGCCCATATTCGGCGGCACCTACTGGCCTGGACCGGGATCGACAATGGCTATGGGCGAACACATTGGTTTTGTTGGAATCTTGAAGAAGATCCGGGATGTGTGGAGGGACCAGCGGCAGAGGTGTCTTGAGTCGGCCAAGGAGATTACAGCACAGCTACGCGACTTTGCTGAGGAGGGAAATATAAGCAGAAAGGACGGTGCACCGAATGAGACTCTGGACCTGGAGCTACTGGATGAAGCATATGAAGCGAGTACCACTTGCGCAAACAATACGAAATTGTTACTAACAATGCGTAGCATTTCAAGAAGAGATATGACCAGATCCATGCAGGTTTCGGCAGTGCGCCAAAGTTTCCAACTCCCTCGAATCTCCACTTTCTCCTCAAACTATCGCAATATCCGAACCCAGTTAAAGAAGTTATCGGGGCAAAGGACTGCACGCACGCAAAAGATATGGCTCTGGCAACACTGTCTGCGATGAACAAGGGCGGTATACATGATCAGATTGGAAATGGATTTGCGCGCTACTCTGTAACAAAGGATTGGAGCTTGCCGCATTTCGAGAAGATGCTTTATGATCACTCGCAGCTGCTGGCCGTGTACCTCGACGCATACCTGATGACGAGGAGTCCGGAGCACCTTGGGGCTGTTCACGATATCGCAACATATCTCACGAGCCCGCCCATGCATGCCGAGAGCGGTGGTTTCTATTCATCCGAGGATGCCGATTCATTATATCGTCCAAACGACAAGGAGAAGCGAGAGGGTGCCTTTTACGTGTGGACATTGAAGGAGTTTCAGGATATACTTGGCGAAAGGGATTCTGAGATTCTCGCGCGGTATTACAATGTCAAGGACGAAGGCAACGTTGCTCCGGAACACGACGCACATGACGAGCTCATTAGCCAGAACGTATTAGCCATTACCTCGACACCCGCAGACCTGGCTAAACAGTTTGGCCTCTCCGAAGACAAGGTTGAGAGGATTCTCACAGAGGGCCGACAGAAGCTTCTCGAGCATCGCAACAAGGAGCGACCGCGGCCGGGTCTAGACGACAAGATTGTGGTATCCTGGAACGGTCTCGCTATTGGCGCTCTGGCGCGAACATCGGCTGCGCTGGCATCTCAAGACCCAGCACGTTCCAAGGAGTATCTTGCTGCAGCTGAGAAGGCGGCTGCTTTTCTTCAAAAACACCTCTACAACTCGGAATCCAAGACGCTGATACGTGTGTGGCGCGAAGGCCCCGGCGATGCACCTGGATTTGCCGATGACTACGCCTACCTCATTTCTGGCCTGATCGATCTGTACGAAGCTACATTCAATGACTCGTATCTGCAGTGGGCCGACGACCTCCAGAAAACACAGCTGAAGATGTTTTGGGACAAGCAGCATTTGGGTTTCTTCTCGACGCCCGAGGATCAGACTGACCTCATTATGCGGCTCAAGGACGGCATGGACAATGCAGAGCCAGGCACCAACGGCGTCTCGGCCCAGAACCTCGATCGTCTCGGTGCCCTGCTCGAGGACAGCGAGTACACGCAGCGAGCGCGCGAAACGGCTTCTGCGTTTGAGGCGGAAATTATGCAGCATCCGTTCCTGTTTCCGAGCATGATGGACGCCGTGGTTGCGGGCAAACTCGGCATTAGGCATGCCGTCATTACAGGCGACGGTCAGAAGGTGGATGAATGGCTGAGGCGGTATCGTGAGCGGCCGACCGGTCTCGGGACTGTCAGTCGAGTGGGCAAGGGGACGGGTGAGTGGCTCAAGGCGAGGAATGCCCTGGTGCAGAGTATGGATGCTGCTAAAGAGGGTGTCATGCTGTGCGAGAATGGGGCGTGCAGAGATGCACTGACAATGGACATGTCGAGTTTGGAAGATGCCATGCCGGCGATATGACGTGGGGGGGGGGATACCACTGATGATTAATTGGCGTTTGTAAATACTACGGGCGGGATCATTGTTTGATGATTGTTACATTTATAATGAATCAATATCTCGTGAATGCAGGTGTATGGATTCTGTGACTGAAGTGATTCTTGTTGTATTATTTGTAGTCAAGAAGATGTTAGTAACTCGATGAATTTAATATACTCCTGCTATAGTAAGGAAATAATAAATAGCTAGATATTACAATCGCTATTCCAGTCCGATATAAAAAAAAGACAGGCATGTTGCTCAACCCCAGCTATATACATACCAACCAACAAACATCGTTGACCACACAACCCTTTTACCCAAACGTTTTAGTCCTAACCTCCCAAGGGCAAAAAACAAAATCATCTCCCCTCCCTTCTTTGGGAGAGAAGGGAGAGAGAGAGAGGAAAAAAAAGAATGGTCACTACGAGGGTCGAACTCGCGACCTTGGCGTCTACTATTCCCAAATCGCGCCAGAAGAGACTTTGCTCTCTTCTGGCGCGATTTGTGACTTATTAGCACCACGCTCTAACCAACTGAGCTAAGCGACCTTTTTTTGCCTTGCCTCCCCCCCCCCCCCCCCTCTCGTCAGGGCGAAAGGAGGGAAGGAGGGAAAGATCAGAAACGAATACAGAAGATTGGTGATCTGATGTTGTTTGATGAGAGATTGGATGATTAAAGAAATTATGAAGGCAAGTGACAAAGAAAAAAAAATAGTTTTTGGACGAGTGAGGGATTAGAGAAACTGTTTTTTGGTTGGAAGGGTGTGGGGCGGGTGGGGATGTGGGCTTGGTGAAGGCGGGAACCAGGGTTTGGTGGTTTAGGGTGGTGGTGGTGGGGGGAGATTGGTAGCTTGGGTTGGATGGCCTGGTGTTTTTTTTTGTAGAATTGTAGGATGAGGGTTACTATCATTTATTTGTTGTATTTTTTTTAGAGGAATATACGGGGGGCGAGGGGGCTGATGAAGTGTGCAAGTTAAATCATGTACTACTATGGTGAAAATTAACTTTTTTCATGTTTTGTCAATCTTAAATCTGAGCGAAACGCATTATCCTAGAAATGAAAAAGTTGCATATTCATACAAGACTTGAGTATCAAAGTATCCCAGTATGGAATTAACTCGAGTTTTCGTCGACAAACTAGACTTTATTTTCGCCCTCCTTACTAGCCGCCTTCTTCTCGTCAATAGCCATGCGCCACGACTTTCCATACAGCGCCGTGACATAGGTACCCGCTGCGCCGGCAACAAGAAATGCAGCGCTAATAGTCGAGAACCAGCCGACGCCAATAGCTCGAACGGCTGGCAGACAGGCAGCAGATCCTGCGGCAGCAAACATGTATCGCATAAAGTAGTTGCCCGCTATGACATTGTTAGTTTCCATCTCATACAACAGAGACCATGATACTTACCGACAACCTCAGCACTCCGGCTCTGCATAACATCCAGACAATACGTATTCAGACTAGGAAAACAGAAAAGCTGGCCTACGCCCTGCAGAAACATCATAATGACGGGTAGGGCGACCCCGCCGACACGCTTCTCAACACTCCAGCCATAGATGAGCATGCACGTTGGCATCATAACACCCAGGAACAGGACGCAGCTACGTAAGCGATCCTCCGAGACACGCTGACCGCGCTTGCGAATGTATTTCTTGACTACGCGGTCGGCGTAGCGGCCGCCAACAAAGGTTCCGATCAGGTATCCGCATCCGGGTGCAATGTAGAAGAGACCAGACTGCAATGGCGTTTCGAGGTTAAAGCGCGGGTTCAGGACGTAACGGATGGGCGTGAGCAGCGAGTACATGTTCCAGACGAGCGCACTGGACGCCAATCCTGTAAGAAGGATATTCGGGTAGCGATACAACATGATGATGCGAAAGGGGTTGAGCCACTGCCACATTTTGACGGCTCGCTCTTTCCTTGGTAGTCCTTGGAGCTCATCGGCACGGCGCTTGTGGATCGTTTCTGGCTGGAGGAAGAAGCAGAACATGGTTGCTGCGCCGGCCAACGCCGTCTGCAGCCAGAAGATGTCGCGCCAGGTCCGGAATGTGACGATGATGCCACCGAGGAAGGGGCCTAGTGCTGGTCCGATGAGCGTGCCACTGAGGAACCAGCCCAGTGCTGTTGCGCGCTCAGTCTGTGGATGCGTTAGTAGAGCAACAAGACTGCAGTGACAACATTACCTGGCACAATGTCCAAGTCGTATTGTATGTTGTTATGGATAAGAGACAATACTCACCGGTTTGTAGATATCGCCAATGACGGCCGATCCGATTACCAAAAACGCAGTGCCTTGAAACGCAGTAAGGATTCGAAAGACAAAAAAGGCAGCCAGATTCGGCGCCAGAGCTGTGCCAATGGAAAAGGCAGTAAACAAGGCAGCACTCGTTACAGAAACCCACTTGCGGCCGTAGATGTTGCCATATGGCCCGTAGAAGCATGGAGACAAGCCCATGAAGAGCATGTATAGGGCATTGGACACGTTAATAATAGAGCCGTCGGTATGAAAAGTGGCAGCCACCTCAGGAACGGCAGACAAGACAGTAGTGGAAGAAATGGGAGCGAGGAAGCTGCAAAACGACACAACGGCAACGATGATTAGTTTCCGACTGTTTGAGAACTTGTTGTAGATGATGTCGTTGTCGCCGGTTGCAACATATTGGACATTGACCATGTCGTGGTGACTGCTCGAGACTGTGCGTTGGAGCTGCAGTGGGTCTTGCTGGGGTTGTTGTTCAGGGACAATCGAGGCATACTGCTTCTCAGGTTCGGTGTCGGGATTGGCATGCTGAGGGCCAGCGGGTACTGAGGAGGATGTGGAAGAGGGTGCCATTATGCGTACTCATAGAAGGCAAGTTGGTGAAACAAAAACAACGTCAGTAGTGAATGAGTCGGAGAGGATTGGGTGATATCAGATAAAGGAAAGATGCAAGCGAATAAAGAGCATTAAAGTAGGATTGGTTTGGGCTACAAATTGGGTTATGCTTGGGTTGCAGGACGCTAATGGCGGATCATATCCGCGAGTGGATACGCGTCGTCGTCCATAGAAAAGCTTTTCCGTGAAGAATCTTCGCTTCGAGGAGTAGATATATCCGAAAAGTGGATCATGGCCACAGGTACATCGGAACAAGAATGTCCGCGCGGAAACGTTGCCGGCGGTGTATGACTGTGTCTTGACGATTCAGGTCAAGACAGGCATTGTGTTCTAGGCTGTAGTCAGAGTAGATGCAATATATACCAGGCAGTAGGCAGTGAAGTGAGCAAGAGTGGACTCGGGAATAGTGCAAGGGAGTATCTTGGCGCAGGGCCACTCACGTGGGTGCTCACGTGGACAATTCGAAGAGGAAAACAAGAAGTAGCAGCAATACAGTGCAGAACGCTCAAATCAAGAGCTCAGATATGGGTGTATATAGGCCATGTCAGCCGTGGCCGTGGCCAAATGTGTACCCAAGAGTGTCGTAAAATGTTGATCCTGACCCCAAGAAAGGGTGCGTATACAGTGAGTCCCAAACGCCGTGGATGCAGTTACGCCTTTTAAAACCAAAGTGATGCGAGTAGCTATAGCGAATGTCATATGCTGAGCTTATCCAGGCTCAAGCGATCCGCGCTCTTGTGTCGCTTAACCATGCCAAGCTTGTAAAACTTCTCCTCGCCTGTGGCGGTGCGGCCACCAATATACCATTTTTCTGCGCCCATGGCCTCATGGAAGCCGTCCGAAGAGCTGTCTGAGCCTCTCCTGCTCCGTTGCGACGCGCCTGGTATGGGGAAGGCTTTCGCCTGGGGCGATGTGGAGCGGGTGTAGGGAGGAGGGGCGTGCTGTCTGGTGGGCTGGAAGTGGCCGGTTCCTTGGACAGCAACGGTCGCGCCCGGTGAAGGAGATCGCGCCTTTGCAGTAATGGTGCGCGAGGCGGCTGCAGCCGAGTCACGGGCCTGTTGCTGTTGTGCTGGGGTGGTGTTCTGGGCGTAGGATGCGACAGAGGCAGCTTGCGAGGACACGGTCTTTTGGAGAGAGGGCTGCTGGGCGCGAAAGGCAGCGAGGAAGCCCCCGAGAAAGGGCCTGTTGGTAGTCATGGAGCGATCGGGGGCGGGGTGGTCTGGTGAGGGCCGGTGTGCGTCGTCGTGCATCAAGGCCCGGTGGCTCGTTTTGTGTTTGTTGAGCAAGAGGCGCTGGGTGGGCTGAGGGCGGTGTGGACGGGCGTGTTGGCGGGCCGAGGGGCAAAATGCGACGTGTAACGGGCGTGGGGTGCAGGCAAGCAATGGGCAGTGATGGTGTTGGTGGTGGTGGAGTCTGGTGGAAACGTCGTGTCTACGCCATACGCTCTCGTGGCAGAGGCCGCGGCAGGCGATTAGCGGGCGATTATCAATGTACGAGACAGGGGCGGGCGGGAGTGCGGGCGTGTGACGTAGTTGCTGTTTGTTGTTGAGGGTGAGGGTGACGATGAAGGAGGTGTTGTTACTGCTTCTGGTGTGGCTGACTGGCTGGCTATGTACTGTATGTGTGTGTTATATATATGTATGGGCATGCATGGAGGGATAGTAGCCGAGGTGAGGGCAGGTAGTGTATGTAGCTGATGGCCAGTGTGGGCGAGGCGGACGGTTGGTTGTTTCGTGGACGGAGCCGCGAACCGTCGAACTGTCGATGGGCAAGGAACAAGTCGGAAGCAGAGGCTGGTCATTGGACTCTGACACGCTCGCTCCCTCGTACTCGGCCCAACCCCCCTCGTCCGCCTGTCCGTTCACGTTGGCGCTGGCCGGGGGTTGGTTGCCAGCAGACGACATTTTCCCTGCTGTGCTTCTGCCTTTCGCCCATCTCGCCTTACCTACTCGCTCCATAGCGCCGACCAGGCCCGTGTCACATGTGTCGCCCATCTGCTCTGCTCTGCCCTGCCCTTGGTCCTCAGCCCGTTGGCAGCGTGAGCGCGCATGGCCGGCAGTGTGCAACACCATGTCGTCTGGAGCGTCATATGTCTGGATAGATGCTAACATGGATGCATATGCCCCTCGTCGAGCCCGTCGACGAGTCTCCAAACGCGGGGTTGGCCCGGGAAATAGGGCGCGTCTGACTGGCCAGCGTCGAGCCATGTGAAGACGCATGTCATGGCCCCACCGCTGCCTGGCCTTGACTCGCTCTGCCTAAGCACACTACGCCTGTTCGTCGCTGCACCTGTCGGATCCACCATCGCCGCTAGCACACCACCCTACAGCCATTAGCACTCTCTGCCGTTGAATCTGCTACTCCGTACATCGACGGTATGCGCAAACCATATCTCCGGGTCCCCAAGTTGCCTCCAGCTTGCTTGCCAATGATGAGCTCCACGGATAATAGGCACGGACCTCGGCGGATCCGCATCCGCCTCGACCACAGCAAGATCAAATAGCCATCGTCACTCGACACAGCCATCCTCTGCAATGGCATCCTTCTCCAGTCTCCCCAATGAGCTGCTCGAGCAAATAACCTCCCGTCTTTCACAGCATGACACGTCTTCGTTTTGCCGCCTCAACAGCCATCTCCACACACTCGCTACTCCATTCCTCTACCGCCATGTCGATCTCTTCGTCCCCCCCAGCAACAGGCTTCCAAGGATTGACCATTTTTGTCTGAACATCCTCAAGGACTGCAAAAAAGCCAGCAATGTCAAGTCGATCCGTTTGGGTGTGTCCTCTGGTCAAAGCGTTACTCAAGGCCAGCGACACCTTCCTCACGATAGCTCTTTCGACCATGTCTACCTACTTCAAAAGGCCATGGATATTTGGTCTAGCGAGACCATGTTTTCTACCCATCATCTCCTGAAAGAGGCACTCGGTATGTGGCTTTTCATAGCCCATCTTTTGGGAGACTCTTGTGTCGTGACACTGCCTGCATCACTAAGACTTATCCGCAACTATAAAAAAAAACATCAACACCTGGTTCTATACTGCTAGCCCTGCTTTCTAACAACTCCCCTCCCTAGAATCACGCGAGTATTCTGCGTATGCTGCACTCATCATCCTAGTCCTCCCATCACTTCAACATTTACACGTAACCGACTGCAAGTCTACCACGTATGACTATCTTCAAGCTTTGCCCGATACCCTGGCTCCCGAACCATTGGGAGCTCCGCGCTTCTTGGCTCAATCCCTTGTCCGTCGCCTGTCATCCATCACACACACATCTCTTGTCGTTGATCAAACAAGTGGCATAGCATACCGCGACCCAAAAACTTACCTTGGCGCTGAACACTTTCTGAATCTCCCTAATATCCAATCCCTCGAGCTTTCAGTCCGAGGCGGATTGCGTCATCAATCCACGCTCAGAACTAACGTTCCACTCATCCAGCGCATCAGACCGACTAATATCACCACATTGGTCTTCCGCCATTCGGGCGCTTTCATCGCAAGTACACGCTCTCTTTTCCAATGCTTCCCTAGGCTACGCTCCCTTACCTATGACTTCACCTTCGACGGCAGTTCAATGACAGATCCTGTCGTCGATCTAGCCGCCTGGTGCGATGTGTTACAAGCCTTTCAGTCCACGCTGGAGACTCTTGTCTTCAGTATAGAATATTGCGACAAAGTCGCCTGGTTCTACTCCCAACCCCGCATCTTGATGGTGCTGCATGGTCACCTTGATATGACGCACTTCCCTAAACTTCACACTCTGGAGGTCCCACTTCCCTTCTTGACTGGAGACCCCGAGTTTACCATCGAAACACAAGTCACCCATCTACTCCCACCAAATCTGCGACATCTTACCCTGCGTACCGACCTCTCGCATGCTCAGCATGCCCATTCTTTCGATACATCCATGCTGCCAAACGGCCTCTCGGTCAAATCGTCGCAGCGAATGGCGCACTACCTGATGTTAGCCCAAAGAGATGTTTCGGTCATTTACCAGACCTCGCTCACCCTACTCGATCAGGCAACAACTCTTGAGTCGTTATCCGTATGGCAGCCCGCCGATCCTTCCCTTGCCTGGCTTGACACCCAAGTTGACGATTTTGCAACCACTTGTCGTAACAAGAACATTACCGGCAAAATCCTCATACCAATGCTGCTAAGGTGGAAGAATGCCGCCCATTGGGATCTTATGCAGGAGAAAACAGTCTTTGACAGGGCGGCTCCGGGGCTTGGGCCTCAGACAAGATTCTGGAGGAAGGAGTGGGAGGGAAAGCCATTGGGTTTGGCAACCCAGTATCTCTTGCATGCATTGGAATTCCATCCAGTAAAACTCTGATCCTAGAGATCAATTCCACAGGGCTTCACCTCCTCTCCAATTAATGGTCATTGTTGTATCAACTATGCAGTGGTTTCCTATAGTGGCTAGATACAGTAATTTGATCAGAAGTAGTGCAATGGCCAACAAGGAAAAATTAAGAAAGCTTCTTCAGCGCTAAAAATTAACAACTCCTCCCTATGAATTAGAAGTTCAAAGACCATTTAGTTTAAATATCAAAATTGTCTTTGAATTCTTATATCTACTATTTAGTTTTAGAGAGAGAGAGAGATTTAAACTCTTAATCTAGTATAAACGTTTTGGTACCTAGAAGAAAACTCACTACGATACCCCTCTTCCTGATCAGTAGCTACTATATTCTACTACCAATTCCCTCTGACTAGAAATGATAAAGAGTTATTGTATTGGCTTATATAGGCTATCTGCAGTGGCTAGATACACGGTATTTTTCGTCTTTAAAATTGGTACGGGAGTCCGTTAAGGAGAAGATAATAATAAAGCTTCTTTGGCACTAAAACTTGAAAAACTCCTTGCAATCGGTTCGTTTAGAGGAATCAGATTTGATATTAAAATGGGCTTCAATATTTCTTGGAGTTACTTCTTAGGTTGAGGGGGAGAGATTTAAACACTCGACCTTGCAGAATCTTTGGCATCGTAGTAGAAGAATTGTGAGAATTTTAAAGAAACCTCACCGTGCTACCTCTTTGATAAATGATATAGTGTTGTGATAATGGTAGCTTGCACGTGCAGTCGCGTGTTCTTAGTGCGGACCGAAGCGCGTCATCCCGCCGAGCTGACGCGGGTATTGCCTCGACTAAAAACTGACAACTACTACGTACATGTGCAATGACTGATGTCTGGAGCGGGCATCTCCTACTACCGGACGGCCGTTTAATTAAAGGCATGATACATTGCGTTCATATTTCTACTCTTACTAACATTGCACAGAAATCAGCCTTACGACGCAAAATGTCGCGTCGTCGCCAACCCTCACCACCACCAGCCTGCGCTTCCTAGCCACCGTTGATACCGCAAAAATACCACTGTACCTCACCGCCGGCCCCAGTCTAGACGTATGGACAACCGAAGAAAGCACTCAAACTTGGTTCGAGTCCCTCTTGCTCAGCAAGCCTACAACATCCCCAAACACATCCAGCCATGATGCAAATGAGTGGTGGAACCTCGCGCGCTCACAGTCTCCCATTGGGATACTAGCGCAAGTGCAGGACACATCAGAAAGCGCTCAGAAACCCAGGATAACAGAAATACTCTTCTATGGGACGATTGCTGCGCATGCCGCCAGTAGGATACCAACACCGCCATCGTCCTTGTCATTTGTCGACAATGCGGGCGAACGGCTTCCAGAACTCAGGGTACACGCAACACCGCTTTCGTCTGATATGCTACACTATGCCAGCATCGACCCGCCAATCGACAATGACGCTCATTTCCTCCCACCAATGCACAACGCCCACGCCGCACCCAGGTCTCCGAGGAAACACCGAGACATCTTTGAGGAGGCTACAATAGCGAACAAGAAGGCGAGAGGAAGGGGTGGAAGAGCAGTCTCAGCAGCGGCTGCTCGGGGAAGCGAGTCCCAACTGCCCTATGCCCACCGCAAATCGTCATTGTCCATTGACAAAAGAGCCTCGCCATTCCCAGACTCGAGACCATCGTCTTCGTCTGGTCCCCTTCCGCACTCCAACTCTCGTCCGCTGTCTCGATCACCGAGCATCTCTTCAGACACAAGACCATTGAGCCGAAAAGGCCCACCTGAAGCACATCCGAGGCGATCCAATCTTTCCCAGGTCGCTACTGTACCCATTAAGCCGGAAGAGCCAACAACGGAGTCGCGGAACAAGGATGCACTTGTCAAAGTAGTCATGGCAGCTATGCGCATGCACGGGCTGCAGCAGCGAAAGCAGAACAGGTCTCGTCGGGCATCGTTAGCTGTTGCTGGCGACGAAAGCGAGCGCTCGAGTGAACAGACAACCCCAGAAGAGGCAGCCAAAGATGATGAGTATAAGTTGATTTATCATCAGACCTACAAGGGTGCAGCACTTGCACTGGTATGTTAGATATGTTATCTTTTTTAGGTCTGGTAAATAACTCTCCACAGAGAAATCACATGTCGGAGAAACCATTGCATGTTCAGCCAGATCGAATGCGAGATGTTGTCGAAAAACTTCTTGTAATATTCTTGTCTGATCCGCTTGCGGAACCACCACCTGCGGATGTGCCCACGGATCCAGTAGCCACTCCAGGAAGTAAATCAAGGATTGGCATTCCGGGGTCTACACATGGTCACGCAAGTCCATTCGATCTCCCTAGCACGTCTCGACCGAGGATGATGAGGTCCGTCACTGACAGTCACGTCTTTACCGGGTCGCCCGTCAGCAAGAAGAGGCCTACTGCTAATCGGCCAGCACCGACGTGACATAGCCAGCATCATGACAATTCTGAATATCTCTTCAGTAATGTTCAAACTCACGGTGTGACATTGCGATGATACAATCATTTAGCATCAATATGTTGCCTGGACGCCTGGACCGGATACGACCTAGTTTCCTTCCCATTGTGGCATTTTGATGGCGCTTGTCATCATTCGTCAGCACCTTGCGACGATCGCCAGCCACCACGACAAACATGGTCGTTGTTAACCTCGAAACCATGGTGGCTTCTAGCATGATGTCACCAGCATCTACGTGCTTTTGTAGTAAAGCGCCAGGGGGTGAGGCTAAATTTGTACCTTGCGGAGCGTGACACGACATAAGCGGACGACGACTCGTACTGTTAGTAACATCAACATGTACAGCCTCGTATTCTACGTGACATCAGGGGATATGGATTTTGCCTCTGCGTGACTGAAGTTGAGGCGAAAATGGAAACAATAGTAGTATAAAAGGCCAGCAGCCGGGCTGTTAAGGAAGTCACCTTCAGACTACAGCACCATCGTTCAATATCACACTACAAACACACGTTCGCTACCTTCCAAGCAATAAAAACCAACCACTCTCACCATGTTCTCCAAAATCACCTCCTTTGCTCTTCTCGCCGCCACCGCCTCCGCAGCAGCCGTCCCCAGCACCACACCATGGACCTGGCAAGTCACCGACTTCAGCAGCGTCTGCACCGCCGCAACCTGCCGCTACTCCTTCAACGTGTCCGCGCCCGCCGGTCCATCCGGCCAGCCCGCTTTCGACGCTGAGTTCTGCTCCGGCACCAGTGTCCAGGGCGGCTTTAAATCCTGCAGCGTCGTCGGCGTCGATGTCCCCGGCGATGTCCAGACGCAAGAATTCAACCAGGGTCGCGATATCGGCGCTATTATTAGTGTCAAGTACTCTTTTACGCAGTAAGTTTTTTTTTGATACGTCTTTTCTGGGATAAGTTGGGGAGAGAAGAGCTAATGAGGGTGGTGGATAGGGGTGATGTTACGTATACGTATACGGGAAATAACTCTGTTGCTCATACTGGTCTTGGTCCTGCGGTTGATTTTACCATTATTCCTACAGAGGTTACTGCTGTGGCTTAGGCAGGTGGTGGAGAGGGTCGTGTTGCATGCATTCGCGTTGCTAGGACGTGGTATCCTTGGTGGGTTGCTTGAGAAGTCGTACTAATATTATATCTATTTCACGTTTCTTATACAATAGATTTGTCATTACTTATCTCTAGCATCTTGTATCTCCCTTGATTCATGGAGCACTGTTGGTATTTTCACCGCTGAAATCTCTTTTCCTGCCAGTGTGAACATGTAGACATGTTACTTTGCAAGAGACCATAAATTCATAACATTGATATAAAGCGTAACCATCCGTCCAACCAGAAAGCCACTCATAACCATAAGAAGGGGGAAGGGGGGAAATCCAAAAAAAAACATTATTCATAACCCTGGCACACACCCCCGCCTCCATCATTCATTAACCCATCCAACATACATACACTCACTTAACCTCCTTCCCCACGGGCTCCCCGACCTCCGCTAACGTCCCAAACGGCTGCTGCTTCCTCTTAAACCCAATCTTGACTCTGCCCACCCTCGACATTTTATCTTCGAATTCCGTGCCGATACGAAGCACAGTCTCGCGGTACATGGTTTCCGTTGTCCAGTCGTACGAGCAGCCGATGATGCGTTTCATGCCGCCTTCGGAGCCGGCCATGAGGAAGCAGACAGGGGGCCGTTCGGCGGTAAAGAGGGTTACTGTCATGTTACCTAGGGGGGGGGGGACTTGTTAGTTTTTGATAGGAGAGGGAAGGGGAAGGGAGGAGGGAGACGAACCGGTGTCTACGAGGGTGAAGACGCGTTGGTCGCCTGGACCTGCTGATTTGGCTTTTTGGACTAGAGCGGCGACTTCGGGGTCAGAGGTTGGGTCGATGGGGGTGCATTCGTTTTTGGAGTTGCGGTAGTGGCGGGAGAGGGGGCTTGCTGCTGCCTGTTTTTTCATGTTAGCTTATTTGCCTTTACTGTGTATCGAAGGAGAAGAAGAAGAAGACGAAGAAGAGGAGAAGAAATACGTACACTCCACTTGAGGCGCCCCAGCCTGCCGCCAAAAATCTGGCGCTCAATCGTCTCGAGATCCATATACCCCTCGAACCCAAAGAACCAGCACTGCTGGTCCCAGAATTTGCCGAGATAAAGGAGGCGGAGTAGCCAGGGTGAGAGGCCCATGAGGACGAGCGAGTAGATGATGAGAACGATACCTGCTGTGCGGACGGACGGCACGGCAGTGAGCGCAATGGCAATGAGGAAGACTACGCCGCCGAGACGCAGGGCTTTCTTTGCGAGCCACCGCTTCCACGCTTCGCGCCGGACGTATGCGACGGGTGTGAAGGACTTCCAGCGGATGTTGGCGGCGCGGCATCCATCGAGGATGATGCTGTCGTCTTCGCCTACGCCGGCAATACCTACATCTTGGGGAAGGATATCCCAGAGTTTGGCATTATAGGCATCGTCCATTGAGTGCCAGGGTTGGTTTGGGGTTTTTGGCAAGACGCAAATGAGGCGTTCTAGGAGTTGTTCGCTTCCGTTTGCGAGGGAGAGACTATGGTTGTTTGGGTTAGTAAAAGGAATATAAGAGAGGTGTTTGAGAGGGGGGGGGAGAGATGAACGTACCGAGCAAAAGCTTGGAATGCAGAGTCTGTAGGGTCGATTTGAGGGCGCACGCGGAGAAGACCCATTAGTGCGTAGCTGTGGTCTCCGGGGAGGTATTGTGTCGTGTCTCTGTTGTGCAGGCACTCGAGAGCAAGGGTGACGAGCTCTAGTTGGCTCAGAATAAGGTTGCCCTCGTAATGATCGATGAGCTTGTCTGGTTAGTAAAGGATACCAAAGAGAGGTGATAGGTCTTCACTCATACCTGTCGAGCGACATGGGCATCATCCAGCCATACTTGAACCGCGAACTGGTTCTTGGGCACCATGATGGGGTGGTCGAGATTGCTGCCACGCACAAAGACGCTGATGTCTCTTCCTGCAGGCGCTAGCAGGACTTCTGGGAAAGTCCAGACTCTACGGCCCCATTGCTGAAGCATGAGTTCTGGTGTGTTGATCTCGTATGCGTTGTTTGAAGGAGGGCCAACAGCAATGGCGAGGGATCGGGCTCCTCTGATTACATCGCAAATACGGTAGACCTGAGGATGAAAATCAGTGAGGCTCCTTCAGCGTTGATCGTGCTTTTTACGTACATCTTCTTGTAACTGGTTGTCAGGCATGCAGGAGCAGCCAACCCAGTATGCAATCACTCCGGCTCTACGCGCAGCTGCATCGGCCATTTCGTGTAAAACTCTGAAGTCTTCGGGTGTGTTGAATTGCTCTGCCGTGTATGCAATAAATACATAGGAAAGGTTGTGAGCTCCACCTTGCTCCGCAATCCTAACCAAGTTAATGGTAGCCCTGAAAGTTGATGAGCAAGGACTTACCATTCATCTACCTTGGTGATCTTTGCAGGCTTCCCATCACGCAAGAAGCAAAGATACCGTGGTTGTAGTATGCGTTCAGCAACGGGATTTGCCTGGCTCGGAACGATGCCATTGGGGTTGGTCGTCTCAAGCATGTTCTTTGCGACCTTGGGATAGCCAAAGTACTTGTAAGGAACAGTGTCGTAGTTGCCTCCATTGCGATCGGCAATCTCAGCGGGACTGGGACTAGAGATCTGCCGTTTTGTTAGAACGATGTTGCTGATTAGTGGACAAGAGAACATACGCAAACAGTGATGAAGCACGCCGCGGCAAACCACTTGAAGCCAAGCATCATGAGATCGCTATTTGAGACCTGGCCATTGTTCGCCGCATAATCGATGTGGTCAAATGGCCAGTTGGCCAAGCGCATGTACATGGGCGCAACATTGCGGATGAATGTACGCCTGTAAGTAGACCCAGTATTGTTTTCGTAAATGTCGTCAACTGCTTGCACAACTAGCTTCGAAATTTTGCCGTCCCAAGCGGAAATGTAGCGATCATCATAGTCGCCTTCCCATTCTCGATCCAAACAATCTCGATGCCTGTAATGACCAAGTTTTTGGTATCCGAGACCTGGCTTACGGTAGAAGTTTGGAAATCCCGCCTTTGCATTGGTAAACGGGGTGAAGATGTACCTATACCCTTTGAGCCTCAAGGGTCCACGGGGCTATATCTCATTAGGAACTGTAGACTTTAGGTCAGGGTTGACGAACCAGAATGAGTGATTGTCCTGGCTGTTTCTCCGGATCTGGCGCCTGGCCGTTGTTTGGGGTATTGGAGACATATGTCGTCTCGTATACCGAAGCCTGGACGTTTTGGTCATGCATTTTGAAAATTACCGAAAGCAATTACACAGCTGTGTGATGAAACCTGGTCGGGAGTCTACTTGGTATTGTTGTTGTTGTTGTTGTTGATATTGTTGTGGTGGTGGTGGCTGAAAGTGTTGATACTGTTGTGAATCATACACAGTAGACGCCTTTTCAGATTCACGTCAGCTGTGAATAGAAAAAGTTACACCTCAAACTTACTTGAGATGCGAATGTTGGTTGGGGGCGAGGTGGTGGTTGATTATATACCAGTGGCACAGCAGAGATGGTGACAGCGGGCTTATTTGGATCGTAGCTGCCTCCACCACAGTGACTCGATTGATTCTATCCAAATCAATCAGATTAGCAAGTGCTCGGTATAAGAATTTAGATTATACGAACAGGGTAATAAGATTGCTGGTATGATTGTACGTGGACAAAGGCACCAGTTTCAGGATCGACTCCTCCACCGTGTCGGCCAGAGAGATTAGCAGAGTAGTCCTGCCTAGTGTAAGCGGCTTGTGAAAAGGGGTGAAGGTAATTCAGGGCTATTATACCATTCAATTATAGCGCCTAATTGAAATGGGCGGTAGTCTCTGCCAGCTTGCTCGAGTCACTGGCGAGGCGCGAACGCAAGCGATCTTATCAACTTCGAGACTTGGGATCTAGAGCCATCCTGATCGGTTTGATGGGGCCAAGTTACACATGACCCTAATTTTAGTGGGTGTATGCCACATTTGGGGTTCAGCTTGACATTGTCCTGAATGATTGGCTGCGTTGGCGGCCCCATCGCCCCATTCCTGGCGAAGTGTGTGATGGCGTTAATGCATAGTCGACAAAGACCGGAACTTGCCAGACAAGGCTGAAAGTAGTTTGTGTGAACGAATTTTCTGTACTACGTCTATGAGCAATGCCAGACCACACTATCTTCTCCGCCTGAAAGTTTCCAGGGATGGCGAAACTTTGCAAGATGGCGCACTCTTCTTGGCCTTTCCCACCCAGACACGTGTATAGCTTCAGCATACACATGTCAGTAGTTCGGAGAAAGCTAGATGTTACATTTATAGGCTCGCAGAATTTACCCTCTTACACAATGTTGCCAGTTCCTGTGCTCCGCTAAACACAAAGCGTAGGTGCGTGTGGGTACCGTACCCTTTACTTACTGGCCAGCGGACTTGTTACTTACCGGACGTTGGTTGTCATATCATGCCGTGCCAAGACAGCTTTAAGCAACGAGGCAGACACTGTTAGCCCAGACACCAGGGCTGTATTCAGAAAAGAGGCTACCGTGCTGCACTCTACCAATCCGCGTGATGCGTGTTCTCGTGTGCACTGCCCTTTTGGGCAAAGATTGGCGAGGTCACTGCCAGCTGAATCCTTGGCAATCTCAGCCTGACGCCACCAATTTTGTTTCGCGCTAGCATTACTATCTTCTGAAAGGTCAGGACATGCTATTGCTTTTCCGTTGAGCTCCTGGATGAATTTTGCATTGTGTTTTTGGCCCCCAAGAGGTCGCCTGCAGGTGGGAGGGGGCTTGCTGCAAGCGATGGCTGCAGGGGCTCTGCATAGTGTCGTTTCCAGTTGTGCCACGGTTAGAGCCACGAGTAAAGTGTGACTAACCGGTCAGCTCACAAGTACTATCTCCGCCTAGAAGTCTTCGTACAATGATGTTATTACTTATTAGTCGGGTGCGTTCAGCCCCCTGTGCAAGCAGTAAAAGATGGCATCGTTTCGGAGCTTGACTGCAGACCGCAGACCTTTTCATGAGTTCAGAACCAAGTCGCGAAACAGTGCGGAATCCAGGAAAGAAAAGTCTTATGGAGTCGTAAATCTGCATATCTTTGAATGGCTAGACTCAGCTGTCCAGGGTAAGGAGATCGGTGGTATCCAGTCTATCGAAGCGCTCGAAGCGCAGAGCAAAGGGGCCGTCCGGGTAATGTGAGTATTGTACATAGCAGGATTCCCGACAGCAACTGACTGAAATAGATTCGCACCCCCAGATAACCCCACTGGGAACTACGGTGAAAGTCTGCTTGAGTTTCTTGAAGAATGGGGAATCCCAAGCGCGTTTGTCGACGAGGGTCTGCAAGGTGTCTCACAGTCGTTCGCGGCTCGTGAAGATGTCGACGGAACAACGTTTGTGTGGTTCCATTTCTTGTGCAAAACTCTCGCAATAGTCGACAAAAAGATTGTCCATCTCAGCGGTGAAGAAGAAGACACTAGCGGACTAGGGATGCGTCAGAAAGCCCAAAGTCAAGCTCAGGCAAATTTCTCCTGGATAAAACCGGGGTTCGTACTCAAAATCCGAGAGCAGAACGCCACAACTCCAAAGGCTGCGCGTACATCCAGCTCAGGTAGCGATGGCACCTTATCACCAACCACAGCTTCGCCTGTGGTCGAATTGTTTTGTTTTGGGGTTCCAGCTTCGTTTCAGAGCCGCTTTCGTGCCTTGATAGACATGGCAAAGTGTGAGGATCTGATCCGAGATCCATATGCCCTGCTGGAGGTAGCATTCGAAGAAATGTACAAAGTCCTGGACTGGACAGGGTGGAACCTAGGAGATATTTTCGGGAAAATGGAGACAGTATGTCACCTTCTATGGCGTCAAGATGGCTGCTAACACGTCATCAGGAAGCACTGGAAATGGCGAGAAATCCTGGGAGAGCAACAAAGGACTTGCTCAAGGAACATTTTACCGGCCTTCACAATCTCGCGAAGCATACAATCTACTTGCGCGAGAACTGTGAGGCAGCCCTGGCTACCCTCCAAGGCCTCTATGATCACCATGAGAGTGTGTCCGGTAAAAAACCCAACTTCCACCAAAAGTTCACCCGCCAGGCATTGGACTACCGCAAGACGCTTTTTGAGTCTACACAGCGGCGGCTTACGAGTCTTGACGCACGCATCTCCAACATCATCCAGCTGTCTTTCAATGTGGTCACACAGGGTGACAGTAAAGTAATGCAGTCTGAAAACCAGAGCATGAAGACGATTGCTGTTACGACGCTTCTCTTCATGCCTCTGGGTACAGTCGCATCTATATTTGGCAGTCAGTTCATGCAACTGCAGGAAGAGTACCCTCACCATATTACAGTGTCGCAAGACTTTTGGCTCATGTGGGGTAAGTACAAACAAATGAATGCTTCCTCAAGCGATGCTGATCTAATTCGTCTCCAGTCATTGCAGTTCCCTTGACTTTTATAGTCGTGGTTGTCTGGCGAGTGTGGTACGTGGATGCGAGGGAGCATCTCGTAGACGGGATGGAGAAGGAAGAAGGAAAGGGCTATTTAGGGTGGAGGTCGTTGTTTCGGAGGATACGCAGGAAAAATGCACCCGCGAAGATAGCCCCATAGCCGATGGTGGTGATGAGCTGAGAGAGCAACCCAATGGAGCTGCCACGTTGATGGATGGCAGGTACAACGACTTGACTTCTCTGATCATATAACAACAGGATTGAATATGCTACCGTACAAAGTATGTAGTTTAATACAGAGTGATACAACAAACCCAAAGCGACGCGCAGATGTGCTACAGCGAAATACCGGCGGTGTTTGTCACAAACGTGAATCGCCCAATACCGTCTAACCAACAATCAGTAACGCCAACCATTCATAACATGCCTTGGTCCATAGACATTCCAGTCCCCTCATGGTCTCGATGCCCAATATCCACCGCGCCACTAACTTGAACAAAGTCTTCCAACTCTTCACTTGTGGTCTTGAGCTTCTCCTTGACAGCTGTAACTCCCTCGATGCCTACTATATGGCGCGCAGGAGGGTTGTCATGACCCCCGATCGCAGTCAGTGCGTGCACTGTTTCTGCGATCAAACTGCTTTTCACTGCTGCGGGCAATGGCGCGTACAAGCTCGTCACTGTATTGGAATTGAGTAAATCGCCCATTGTCGGTTCTGCATCCTGTCCAGCCTCGGACATGTTGCTGTCTTCGCCAGGAGATTTCGTCTCGTCAAAGTTGTGAGGGGGGTGAGCAGAAGGGTTCTCGATGCGTTCTAGCTTGTCTAGGAGACCCGAGAAGATTTCCCGAGCCAAAGGCGCAGGGTTTTCGCCTTGAAGGTACTCCGGCATAGGAGGGACGGATGTGATGCGGTTTGTGAGCACGTTTACCTCCATATTTGCTTGAACTAATGACATCTTGACATTGAAGGGGGCGATTTCGTAGGCGAGACTCTATAGGGAAAATTTCAGTAGATTTAACGGCGCTATTCATTATAAAATACTCACATCACAGTAGCCTTCGATAGCCCATTGGGAAGAGCAGTACATTCCCAGGCCTGGCGTGCCCAGATGACCGGCTGTTAATAGTCAGAATACGCGCAAGCCGATAAGAGCCGTAAAGAGAACCTACTGATGCCAGTTATCACAATGAGATGACCGTTCTTCCGTTCTCGCATGATGGGAAGCACGGCTTTGATGATATTAACATTCGCGAAAAAGTTGATCTCGAAGATTTCGTCAACTAGACTTATTGTTCGAATGCTCTGGGCTAGCTCCTCAACCGTCCCTATGACAGCTACCCTCAAGATCGGTGATCAGCCCAAGTTTTCCTTTGACGCAAAGAGGGCTTACCTTCGCTCGCGGCGCATAGTAGAACGTCAATCCGCCCAAATGCTTCCACAGCCTCGGCAACCGCTGCCTGGCATTGACCAACGACCCTTTATACGCGATGCAATCAGCGCAATAACAGTCTTGACGCGATTTTCGAATACATACCTACTGTCCAATGCCACAACCCTCAGATGCTCACGCCATCTGTTTGTTTGTTTCACATCTTGCAAGAACGTCCGAAAATCGTCTACTTGTCCCTCTCTTTTCTCAAACTCAACAGGCATCACGCCGGCCACGACATAGTCACCATGCTCGAGTACTTGTCTCGCTAATGCGATAGCTATTGGCGATACTCCTCTCGTGATGAACCATACGCGTGGAGCGTTGTGTGGAGGAAAGTGTGGTGACTTGGGCCGTGGAGGCTTTGACGATGAGGATGGCGCGTTGCTTGTCATATCGGGATCACCACTGAGGAACACTTCATGTCGCTAGTCGGCTGCAATGTCCATTTGTACCCCGGACGTCTGAGCAATACGTTTCGCGTGGGAAAGTGGGGACGGCATTGCAAGTGCCTAACTCCATAAAAGGCCGGTGCTAGTTTCAAAAGGCACTAGCGCGCACGAAAATGACTTGGACTATTCACTGCACAACCCCACTATTGCGACCGTTTGTCATGATTCTACAATGCTGCTTCAGAAATCAACAAACCATCCAGCGAATTTCAACAGTTGCGATTCAACGTCCCTCAGTTGTATAGAGCCTGACTTTACTAATCGGCCTTGGCAAACTTAAATTGCTAAATTGATTCCGCACATCCGGCTGCCTTCCCCATTCACTGCAGGTACGCTTTTTTTTCTTGAGTCTCCCTGGGCTTCCTATCATCCCACAGTACTCGGCATTTCCCCGAAAGTCTGTACGGCCCCGATACACCCCCCAGCCCCTTGCCATTTCACGTGGCATTAAATTGTTTTTTGTCGGGTCAAATTATCAATTCACACACTACAAGAATGCTTCGAGTCAATGGATTCCATCTTTCCAGCTGACATTGATCAGACTACAGTTATCCAGAGGGATACAGGTTGTTCTGACAGCTGTCTGACAAAAATAGTACAGCGTCCAGCTAGTTCCCTGACCACCCTGGCAAACTTGCCAGCAACACAAATTTTGTATAGGGCTTCATCCAGTCTGCCGAAGAAATCCCAAACTTTGTGTCAGGTGCTCCAAACTCCAAAATGAGTCGATCTGCATCTCTCGCGCAATACCAGCGCCACTCAGTCCACCTCATGTCTAGGGTTCTCAATGTCCGCGCCAATACCTCACCCTTTACACTCGTCCTCGATGACCTCAACCAGCGGGCACATCCTTTTCTAACCGAGATGATGCGACGCGCACTATCTCGGAATGTCAATGTTGTTGTCGTTGCTTTTGAATCATCACATTTCATGTCAGCTATCCGCACCGTCCCCGGGTTTGGCGCCACCGGAGAGGAGATCATGCATGGACTGCGCAAGGCCCTGAGTGGTACAAAAGAGAGCCTCGTCATCATCGACTCACTATATGATGCGCTCAATGGTAAAGGCATCGATATGGGCAGGCTCTTCCATATGGTCGCTGGAGAGTTCGCGTCCACCCTTGTCGGCGTCTATCATCAAGATATGCTACCTGGCCATAACGTGCGACCGGAGACCCCGTATGCCCCCCAGGCACTCGATCTGGTCACATATATGGCGACTTCCGTCATTACCTGCAAATCTCTAGCTCACTGTCTCGCTGCAAAGGCAGCTAGAGAGCGCAGTCTGCCTGAGCCTACCCACGGTCTGCTTCAGGAAGCCGAAGGCATCGTCCAATGTCTCGACGCCAACGATCGCCGTGGCATCGTCCTTGAGGCCGAATTTCGACGCAAATCTGGCCGTTCTGAGGGCGAGACTTATTTTCTCCGACCTGGCCGTCGCTCGGATTATCAAGCTCCCGTTGGTGGTTCGCCTTTCGGTACAATCAAGCAAGAATTCGTCATTCTACTCGATCAGCTTCCTGCATACGCGAGCCAGGACACGAAAGCGTTTGCAAATACCGCTGACAATGAGATGGAATCGACGTTCAACCTCGGCCTTACCGACAAGCAGAAGCAGGCGCGCGAAGGCATCGTCCTTCCTTACTTTGATGCTCAAAAGGGTGAGGGTGGTGAGGGCGGCCGTATTCTATACGACATGGGCTCTGAGGATGACTTTGATGAGGAAGAGGATGAAATTTGAGCAACTTGGTCTTGAACTATTTTGAGTGCCCCGGGTCATGCGTTTCACGAGAGCATCTTAGATACCCTGCATGGTATGGCGTTATGGAATAGAATGGTGATACCACCTGGCTATAGACAATCATTTGTTCATCGAAGATGGGATTTTGTACACGAAAAGTGCAAAATATTACTATCTGCTGATATGTTTCTGCTTTTTAGTAGTAACCGCTTGTTTGAATTTGATACGCAGTAGCTCTCTACACCTCCTCCTTGATTCATTGACTCCCTTCCTGGTTTTGAGGTGTTGATCTCTTCTCTTCTTACTGAATTTGAACATTGCTTTCTACGACAACCATCGTTACTGATCAGGCTGAGCCTGTAGCCCTTTTCCGCATTAGTGGTCCTACTGTTGTGCTCTGCATAAAGTATACCTGCTGCTCACAATCATCCACCTCTTCTTCACACCACGATCCACGAATATCTGCATTCGTTCGGTGCATTTAACCTTTCTTTTCAGCTCATAAGCCATGGTATTTTTCTTCTTGGTCACCTTGATCTCTTCGCTACCCCCCTTCTATCTAATACTGCCACCATACCGCCGGACACTCGGTAGCATCGACGTACATCACTGTTGTTCGCTGTCTCTCTATATCAGCATGCACGCCAATCCCATCTCTTCCATGCCTCCCTCTTTGATGCTCATACCACCGTCTGGCTAGGCGTTCGATTACACTAACAGAGTGCTCTTTCGTGACAGCATACCTTCTGGGCTTGAGCAGGTGAGACCAGTCCTACCGCCTAGCGCGTGTATCTTGAACCAAAGGGGAGCAGCCGGGCCAGCGATTTGGGAAGGTGCCACTTCGCGGAGGTTCGACTCCTCAGCAACTAAAGGGGGCCGGAGTTGGACTAATCAGGGTTCTTGGCTCAGCCTTCCTCTTCCCGCACTCACCAGGAATTTGCTGACGAAAGGAAACTTTCGCGCGTCTCACGGATCTTTTCAGCTTCCACACCGCGCGTCTGCACCGGCAGTTGCTCGCCATTGCCCGATCCGAACGATTATTCTACCGACAGGCCCTCGTCCTATTCTCCTTATTTCGTTCTATCTCTCGCTCGGTCCGTATTCTCTTTTTGTCTTACAATCGCTACGTGGGCATCTTTGTGCATTCTGCATGGTCTCTACGCCTTGTACAAGGTCCGAATCTGTCCTTATTGGATGCACGAGTATACATGACGAGGTTTGGAGGTTTTGGAGGTCTAGAGATCGGGCTGCCTAGTTCTGTTCGCTTCGTATCAGTTACTTTGCAGCTGGAGCTATGAAATTAGGAGTGTTTATTCGAGCTCAGTGCAATTCAGGCTCACTTATCTCGTCCCTCACAAATACACCTGAAGATTCTCTTGCTATTATATGTTCCGAATATGAGCTGTTGTCTATCCTTTCTTCCCATCGTCGACTCCATCCCCTTCCCTGTCGCTTCCTCCATCTTCTTCCTCATCATCCGCCATGTCGGCATTTTTTGACATGATTCGTCGTTCGTGACGACAGCGACGAAGCGGCCTCTTCTTCCTGTGGCTGGCTATCATCTTTGCTCTCGTTGCTTTCCCAATGTTGCCTTCTGCCCCATTTTCTACGATTGAGACTTGAACATCGTATCTCGACAGCCGCCTTACACTCGCCAGGACTCTTCTGATCATCGAGCGGTCCTCCTTACTGACCACTGATTCGAGACTCTTAGGACCGTGAGCTTGGTGATGTTTAATCAGTTCAACCACCGCTAGCAAACTGCAGAGCACCATGATACTCTGCACCTTGATGCGTGTGGCAGTGCATTTTCGCCTGATTGTACTGCACGCTAGCCCTATGGCAAGTATAAGTGCGAACATATGAGCTCTTTCGGGCGTTGTGAGGTTCTTAGCTCTGGCCTGGCCACGCTCGATACCATGTGCTTGCTCCTCCGTTGGTAGAGTCAAGGGCAGGCCCACACCTGGTGCCGTGCTTTGAATGATACCAATACCGACGCCTGAATTGAGGCCGAAGTCGACCGCTGTGTGCAGGAGCAGGGAAATTTGATGTGCAGCTGGTGGGGTGTCGCTGAATTCGGGCATGTTGGGAAATGGATGATATACGAAAAGCCTAAGGCGGTTTTGCAGAGTAGCCTTGTGGGTGGGTTGCAAAGATGCCCATGAAGATGAGGCTGGAGGGGCAATGTGGATGATGTGTGATTGGCTTTTTCGATGATTAGGGAACGGGGAAGGCACGAAGCAGAGGGCTATGGGTCACGCGATCTCAGTCTCGCTTGCAGTCCATGGTTAATGTGTAGTCGCCTAGGAGCATTAACACTGAGTAGACTATCATGGCTTGGGCAGGGTTATTGGAAAGCTGTTTCGTCGACTATTCGAGGTGGATACTATTGCTACAAATCAAAACATGGTTGTATGAGAGTGTACCAACAAACACCTCACACCCCGCAGCACGCTCCATGGGGCAGCTGTGGTAGAACTAGGCAACTACTTTTGTAACAGGCATAAAAATCAGGATTGGTGTACCATATTATCGAGCAGATAAAAATATTGGGGACATGGGCTAGATCTGGTTGTTCGAGGGTGCTCACTGAATGCCATCTGTACACCATTTCGTACGCCGTGTAGAGGGGGTAGTATATTAAAAAGCTAGAGAATGTGTGAGTAACATGGATAAGTTTGTTGGCGCGTAGTACTATGTATGTAAAGGGGCAGGTGCAGAGTCTTTGTTTCGCAACTATATTGAAGAGAGATATCACTAAGTGTTTACTCTCTGTGTGCGGCGTGCGAAAGGGGGTAGAGAGATCAAGTCCTGTTCGTGCAGCATTGCCAAGCTAAGTTAAGGATATCGATAGCATCACGTGAGCACCCTCGAACAACCAGATCTAGCCCATGTCCCCAATATTTTTATCTGCTCGATAATATGGTACACCAATCCTGATTTTTATGGTACATACGACCATAGGATTTCTCGGCAGCACGGAAACCCGTTCGATCTTCCCTAGTTAAACAGAATACCGGCGGATTAGTAGTCAGGTGGGTGACCACTGGCGAATCCCCGCTGTCGTATGTTTTTGAAGATTCTTTTTTTTGCTCAGTGAATATGTCACGTGATCACGGGTTAGCGCTATGGTATTGCTTTCCAACTATCTTGGGTTACGAGTCTCTTAACATATATTCCATAGTTGTAATAAGATTGTTTTTTTAATATTTCGACTTCTATTTCCAAAAACTACAATAGTGTACTATGACATGTATCGCCCAACTTGGTAGGGCTGAATGGCGATGGTCTTGGCAACCGAACCCAGCCAACGGTTTGATCTGCTCTTCGCGACAGTCGCTTCCCAACCTCACGCACAGCTCCCTACAACATAGCAATGTCAGATAACGAGCGATCGCGCGACCGCTTCCGCGAGCGAGACAGCCGTCGCGAACCACGTGAAGGCCGTGAGCGAGGCGGCACACCCACAGAACGGCGCAACCGCTCGCGCAGTCCTAGAGACCGCGGCAGCCGACGCGACACCCGATATCGTTCACGATCGCCATACCGGAAAGATGAGCGCGATGGAGCTGGGAGGGGTGGTGACCGAGCCAGGCCTGGAGCTGGTCATGATCGCGGACGAGGGCGCGACGACAGGAGGGGAGGAGGCAGGGACGACCGCCCCAGCTTCCGCGACCGCTCACCACCGAAAGGACCTCGCGGTAGTGCTCGCGGTCCATTTGGCGGCTCTGCAAAGCCTCCAACTGGTCCTCGCTCCTCGACCGACATCGTCAAGGAAGAGACACCAGATGTCGAGATGAAGGATGAGAGGCAGAAACCAGAAGACATGGACGACGACGAATGGGAAATGCTAAAGGTCATGGGCTTTGGCGGATTCAAGAGCACTAAGAACACCAAAGTGCCAGGGAATGACAAGAACTATGGGGTCAGAAAGGACAAGCAGCTCCAGGCCAGACAGTACATGAACCGCCAGGGTGGATTCAACAGGCCGCTGTCGCCGAGCAGGTCATAATGAGATGGGTGAAGATGTGCTGCAAGGTCTCACATCAATTGCTAGGATCACGACAATACTTTTGAAGACTTGAGCTTGAAGCATGCAGTCGTAGTCGTCTTTTGGGGTTACTCGGCGCAAGGCAAAAGCATGCTCATGGGGGATATGGCCATGAAATGCCACGACAAGCCGTTGGATTGCATGCATTTGGGGAAGGACCAGCTCACGGTATGACGCCTTGATATTTTATCATATTTGGTTCTCTTTGAGTCTGACCGGAACAGAAGGAACACGTGTCAACACAAAACTTGTTACTGTAAGCAGGTTGGCAAAGTGTAATTGCATTCGTCTTTTCAGGCAAATGCTGCTCTTAGAATGCTAAATCAACTACTCTTACCGATGACTAGATGAATCGCTCTGCTTACTCCGTGAAGCGTGCCAGGAGATAGGATACAGGGCTGAAACAGGCGCGAATGTTAGACAGGATTTGTTCGGCTGAAATTTGTGCTTAGTTTACAATTGCGTCGTCAAGTCTGGGGAAGTGCATATGCTTCGCACAATATGTGGAGAGGGAGCACTTGCAGCCATCCAATCAGGAGCGATTGCGGCCGCGGCCGTGGCTGTCTGAGCGAGATGTGTCCCAAACCCCGCAAGCTTCAAGGTCCGGAGCTCCAGCTTCACACATCACAATGACGCGCGACAGCAGACATGGCACCCTCTGGAAGGGGCTGACATGTCTTTTTGCACTCCAATTGCCCCTTGTGGGCGCACAGCTGGCAGAGGTAGAGAAGGCTACAAACGCCAGCTTGCTCTGGGGACCTTATCGTCCAAACTTGTACTTTGGCGTCAGGCCACGCATTCCTAAGAGCTTAATGGGCGGGTTAATGTGGACCCGAGTGGAGGACTATCAAAGTGTGCAGAATAGTAAGTACCACTGGTAATTGTCTGAATGGATGCGAGCAAGACGGGAAGCATCTAGTCACCTTCACATGGTTAGCACCAACAAGACCAATTGCTGATTCGATAGATTTCCGGCACACCTGCGAGCAGCACGAGCTCGATGGCTACGGCTGGGACGAGTATGATGTGCGTAGCGGCGGCCGACAAACAATCCACGATCCTGCGAACAAAATCGACATCACCACCGAGTTTATCAAGTTCCCAGGTGGAGAACACGGCGGCAGCTGGGGCGCGAGAGTCAAGGGAACACCCCGAGAAGACGCCAGCCCGAATCTTCGTACGACGGTCATCTGGTACAACACGCTCGAAGGTCTGGGTAGCCTGGAAGTCGCAGATGCTGACACGGAAGAGCCGGGTGTCAAAGGGGATGTTATCTTGAAAGGGCAGACGACTGAGCTTGGTGACTTTGAAGTCAGGGTCACGGAAGGCAAAGGCGAGCACCCCATCACTGGTCATCCGAGCTGGGACGATAAGCCTTTGGACAGAACACTGGTTCATAGCGGACAAATACCTGATGAGGCACTATGGCAGGTCAAGGCCATTTTGTTCGCACACATGAAGGGTCAGATCGACGTCTTGATCCCAAAGTACGACGAGCAAAATCCCCCACCACCTGCCCAGGTTTACACCATCCAGCATTTGCCTGGCCAAGGAAACATGCACATTGTTCAAAAGGTCTTTGAGGGGCCATTCGAGTTTGATGTCATCTTCTCATCGGGGTCTGCTCCTGAAAAGGTTACCTCGCAAGACATTACCCAGCAGATTGACTCGGTCACTTCAAGCTTCTCATCTCGCTTCACTAAAATCTTCGAACCACAAGCTCCTTTCCTCAAAGAGCGTTACGAGGAGTTTTCAAAGTCGCTATTCTCGAACCTGATCGGCGGTATCGGCTACTTCTTTGGAGACTCTCGTGTCGACCGCTCCTACGACCCTGCTTACGAAGAGGACAGTGAAGGGTTTTGGGAGGAGGCTGCCGAGGCGCGAAGCAGGAACGTGGCTCAGCTCGAGGGGCCTTCGGAGCTGTTCACTGCAATTCCATCTCGGCCATTCTTTCCACGTGGCTTCCTTTGGGATGAAGGTTTCCATCTGTTGCCTGTCATTGACTGGGATGCTGACCTCACCCTTGACATTATCAAAAGTTGGTTCAAGCTCATGGATGACGATGGCTGGATCGCCCGTGAGCAGATTCTCGGTCCGGAAGCCCGCAGCAAGGTGCCTGAAGAGTTCCAGGTTCAGTATCCTCACTACGCGAACCCCCCGACGCTGTTCATGGTCATCACTTCTTTCCTCGATCAGCTCGATGCGATAAAGACGGACACTAGTAGCGAAAAGCTTCGTCAAGAAAAGTCTTACTCGATGCAATTGTCAAACCGCGAGGCAGCACTCGAATACCTCCGCACTCTCTATCCACTGCTGAAGCGCAACTACTTCTGGTACCGCAAGACGCAGGCCGGTGATATCAAGAGTTATGAACGTCAAGCCTTCTCTTCGAAAGAGGGCTACCGCTGGCGTGGACGTACCCCCACGCACATCCTTACCTCTGGCCTTGACGACTACCCCCGCGTTCAGCCACCACACCCTGGCGAGCTACATGTCGACCTCATCAGTTGGATGGGTATGATGACCCGTGCCATCAAGCGCATCGCAATCTACCTTAACGAAGAAGATGACGCAGCAGAGTTTGCTCGCTACGACGAAGCCATTACCCGAAACATTGACGACCTGCACTGGTCCGAAAAAGACCAAACATACTGCGACGCCACCATTGATGACTATGAAGAGAACGCCCTGGTTTGCCACAAGGGGTACATTTCCCTATTTCCTTTTATAACGGGCTTGATAGACAAGGACAGCAAGAAGCTCGGTGCAATCCTCGACCTGATTGAGGACGAGGAAGAGCTCTGGAGTCCATATGGCATCCGTAGTTTGAGCAAGAGCGACGAGTTCTACCACACCGCAGAAGATTACTGGAGAGGACCAGTTTGGATGCCAATCAACTACCTAGCTGTGACCCAACTTCTTGTAAGTCTTCCTGTCAAAGGAAATCTCCCATCTTGTTCCCTTTTTTTACTAACCTGATTTTTCTTCTCAACAGAAACTCGCACAATCTCCCGGACCCTACCGTGCGCGCGCCACGAAGATTTACACGGAGCTCCGCAAGAACCTGGTCAAGACGGTGTATGAGAGTTGGAAGGAGACGGGATTCGCGTGGGAGCAGTACAATCCTGAGACTGGTAAGGGGCAGCGGACGCAGCACTTTACGGGGTGGACGAGCTTGGTGGTGAAGATTATGGCGATGCCGGATTTGAGTGGGGAGGAGGCGAGGGAGAAGGATGAGTTGTAGATGGGTGATGGAAGTGGGGTGGGATAAATGGTATGTGGGTATGATATGGAGTGCTAAATGAGACGTGAGATGGAAATGTAGATGAGATCGAAGAGTAGTGGAATAAACGGTACCTGTACCGTCATACTATCTCATCGGCTTGAGAAACAGTTTGAATACTGGAGATGTGATCATTAACAGTCCCGTTCTAAGTGAACCATGTTTTCCTTTTGTTTATTTTTCTACTGCCATGTCAACTGGGGGCGAAGATTCGAGAGGTTATTTTTTTTTATTATATATTAAATAAAAACGGGTCAGGTATGTTGCGGGAGAATAGACCGAAACCATGGCAGAGTGTCGATTTTTTTGTCGAACAGGGATAAAGATGTAAAAGTTTATGTTTTTATATTCGATTGCTGTTTTATATTTAAATCATCACTCGACATTTCTATTGTGTATGAATTCATTGTCCCATCTAACAACCTTTGCTGCATCTCCACTAATATCCATGTCTACAATTCTCTATTGAAATACTTTTCAAGCATAACTGGTACATCTACTTCTCTATTTTATTTTATTTTCATCTAGGTAGATTAACGGGGAAGTCGAGAGGGGTTTTTTTTCTTATAAGAGTATAGATGTATGTGGCAATTTTTTTGGGTTCTTCTCCTCTTCTCTTCATTCTAGATATTTCAGATAATCTGAGGATGATTGCGGTGCAAAAGTATCAACATCGCCCCAGACTTATGCTTGTGAGAGTGTGAAATGTAAAAAAATATGAGGAGAAGATGGATAGTAGTATGGAGAGTTGATTATGAAAAAAAAAACAGGAGAGGGTATGGAATATTCATAAGTATTCGTTGATATTTGATTACTTGTGAAACCGGTACTAAGAAATTTCTTTTCGTTGTGCTATATGGCACCTCTCATGATGGCAGATTTTTTGGTTTCCATTTCCTTGACCGCAGATGCATTGGTTTAGTGAGAAATTGGGTAGGATAGATGTGCACGTGGTGTTTTATTAGGTACTAAATGCAAATCGTTGTTTTAATCAGGAGTGATGCAGGCCTATCGGCAGAGGGAAACAACAGTGAGAGCAGCCGTACGGTGAATTAATGGTCACTTCACATCCTAAACGTGTATCATAAATGCTATGATGTGGGTATCTAGATAATGTATAGGGAAATAGTTTAGTGAAGTGAAGTTTGTTATTTTTCAATTTTTATTTATAATAGGAGTACGTATTTTTTTCTTTGCCGCATAATAGGTAAAATAATTTTGTCACTCGTAAAATCCACATTACTTTTCAAACATTGTTACATGATAGAATATGCAATTCCTGAAAGGGTATTTTATTATTCTTGAGATGTCAAATTGTAATGTTGATACATGCCATCAAGCATATAACGAATGTCACCCATATTCTCAACTCTCTTCACCCACCACAACAACCTTCATCTACACAATATTATGCTCCAATTCCAATCATGTACAAAGACGGCTCACGAAAATCCCAAACGAAAATCCAAGTCATGGTACGTGGGGCTTTCGGAGATGATACAGAAGGTGTAAACCTACCATACGAGATATGGTCCTAGAGCGTTACACTAAAATTACGTCAACCTTGTTGTCTGCACGGGAGAACCCTATCACGCGTAGAAACCCCTTTTTTCCCTTTACTGGTTTTACTCGCCAGCGAGAATGCAAAACAAACAAAAAAAGGGGATCACCGAACAGAGTTGAGAATGAAATTACGATGAGCAATGTGCTAGCCGAAGAAACACAGCTTACTATGCGCCACACACGGGACTTGGAGCGAGAGAAAAAAAACCAATAAAGCCAAGAGAGGCCAGTTTTGTTTATACGAAGATAAAAGGAGAATTAAAAGGAGTGCAAAAGTAATGGCAAATGATATCTTTTCATGTTGAACACTAGGCCAAGTGTTGCAAAAAGAAAACAACTACGAGCCAAGAGGTTGCACAGACGAGTGTAATGGGAGACTGTGGTGGCACACGGTTGCTCCGCCCAGGCGCCTGTCCGCACAGAGCCATACTTGGCAGCGGAGGGACGACGATTGAGTGGTGACCGTGTACGCGGAGAAGGGTGCACGTGTGTCTCTCCAGATTCCTTGGCTAAAAAGTTTTTTTCCCTTGTTACTTTCAGTGTCCGGATGCAATGCCGAGGACTATCTAATCGGTAAAAGCATGGAGAAATGGAAGAATGCCGTCGGAAGCGGGGTCGAGATGCAAGTGGTTGCGTGATTAGATTGCATGGTCAAAAGGCGGACGGATATATGGCAAAAAGGCAGTCATCATGGCAAGATCGGATGTACATGTGGGGGTCGATGACAGGTCAAAATCTGGGGAGTTGAGGGTTCGGATGAACCCGCGATGGTTGCCAAGAACAATATGGTGCAACCTCTGAAAATGCCGCACTAAAGTGTCAGCGGCTTGGACAAGCTGGGCACACTTTGGACAGAGTAGGAATGTATTTGACGATAGTAACGGATGATGGTAAGCCGGACGCGGAGCATAGTGCCCGGGCGGAGATGCGACGAGCACAGCGGACGGTGTTGTTGGATTGTGCGGAGAATGGGAGAGCCAGCGCCAAGGGCGATCTACCAGATCCGGCACTGATACAAACAATTGATCTGCTGCTTGGCAGGTATCAGAGCAGTCACTTACAGGTGCGACCATGATAGATGATTTGAGTGGCTATACGTTGACGGGACAGGAGCAATGTGGTTGAGGACATGTCGCACTATGGTTATGCAAAGTTTTCTACCACACCCAGGTGGTGATAGCAGGGTTTCCTGGTATGTATGACTACGCGTGAGTAATTGCACATGCTCCTCACAGATCAAGTTGGAATTGATTGGTGGGGGCCTTGGTATACATATGTTCAACGTAGGTGGACAGTGTTGAATTTGTCATTGAACATGACAAGAGTGCATTTGGTTGAGTAGACGTCCGGTGTATGCAATCGCGACCAGGCCGCAAAAAGACACGAGTGAGGCGGGTTGGTGGAGCCCACCGTCCCTGCATGCGTCGGATGCAAGGGTTCGCGTGCCGTGAGCAGTTGGCGCGGCAGACATGGTTTGGAAAAAAAAAGCCATTGTTTAGTTGGGAGCAGGGACAGAGTTCGGAGGCTGGGAACGAAACAATGGCAGCCGCACATGAGCCTCAGGTAGATCAGCTGTGAAGGTCGGGAGTGCCTCACCGGAAGCGTGTCACGAGGCTGGAGAGCTAACTAAGATGGAGAGTGGTGAAAGTTTCCCGAACATGTGTCGGTGTTTGAAACGCGGCGTACAACAATTGGCTTGGCGTGTGGGTGCCGCAACGCCCATGCTGCAGGTACGAAGGCATCGCGAAAAGACGTTGACGGTGGTGATCAGCGCAAGCGATGGGGCCGTCTGTCTCAGGACGAAGCACAGAGGGTCGTGGCCGTTATAGCACATGGATGGTGACAGATGGGCAAAGGACAATACTCGAGAAACCTTGTAGCAATAGCATGTACAAACAATACAATAGACGAGATAGCACACGGCGTAAGGGTGCGTGCAACGAGCGCGGACCGACACCGGTGGGTGGGGCGCGCGGTGGGAGCGATTCAGAGAGCCAGTCGAGGGCGAGGGTTGGCGTCGGTAAAAACGATGAGTGATGGGATGGCAGGCGGAGGATGGTATGCAGTACGTGTTCGCACTCGTACACATGTGGGTTAGAGCGATTATTCCCGCACGGCGGTGAGGCTCGCTCGCGTGCCGGCGAAGCATCGGCAGTGAGGGTGGCAGTAGCAGGAGGAAGGCGTGTCACGTGCGTGGCAGTAGCCGTGGCCGTGGCGGCTGCCGTGTTGGGAAGGCCATCCACGGTCTGGATGGAAACCGGGGCAGACTCGCAGGCTCCCCAGGCCGTCGCAGGCATTAGGATTGGCATTGGCACGACACAACGAGAACGGCCAGGCCAGGCTCTTTTTTGCAGCCAAGGCCCTGTGCGACGGAACCGTGTTTCAATTTCTCCACGGCACACGCTGGGCGTGTAGTGGAGCGAGCGAGCAAGTAAGTGCGGTTGGTGGTATTAGTCGTCTGGCCATGATAACACAACTGCTAACGGTCACGACCGGGGGTGGTCAGGGTTGGCCGGGCGACGGCGTGACAGTAGGTGTGATTCGGCCGACATGGCTGGCCGTCTCAGCAGCGGTAGGGCTCGTTGAGACAGGGCCGATGCCCGAAGCAGGCCGTGGGGCGTGCTGGATCATGGAGAGGGAGGGGGGAAGTCGGATATTGAGGCTCCATGGTGCTTGGTGGTGCGTGGGGCTGGAAGGCCGCTAGAAGAAAATTGTGAATGCAGCCAAAAGTCGCGCAGGCGTGGGGAGGGCTCGGGGGACCACAGCCAAGGGCCAAAGAAAAAATGCCTCGCAGGATTGAGCGGAGTCGAGGGGCGAGCCAAGGCGACAAGCATTGTTTACAGAGCGAGACGAAGCTTGGTGCTCGCTGCGAGTGCCAGTCAGTGGCGGCGAGTCGACGAGGTGGTGCTGTGGTGCTACTCGATGCTGGCCGGGCGTGGGTTGCAGTTGGCCAAACGTCATGGGGGCGCATCCCTGCCGCGCCTGCACGCTTGTCGCGGAATGTCGCGCTATCTCCAGCTTAATCTCAGCAGCCGGCGACGGAGACGCGTTGGAGGAAACGAGACGAGCGATGCCGGGTTAGGGAGCAGCAGACGATACACGGGCAGGCAATAGTAGCAGGGCAATTGGGGGTGGCTGGGCGGATGGTTTTGGGCAGAGTAGTTAGTGGCTTGTAGCAAGTATTGGTGGTGGAGGTGGAGGGTGGAGGGGAGTAGTGGCAGCAGGAGCAGGAGAGCAAGAGGGCAGGAGCGATAGTGGTAGTAGCAAGCAGTTCTTAGCAGCAAGTAGCAACACCGTCAAGGTGCTTTGCCAATTGCTTCCTTCCTTTCCTTCTCCCGGGGCGGAACAGACCGGCCGTCCGTGGCAAAAGATTAAAGAAGGAAAAAAAAAGTCACACACAAATGATGCAGTCATGCTGAAGGGAGTGGGATGATTGCAGCAGTAGTAATGGTAATCTGCCTTGTCTCTCACTCACTCACTCATGCCGATTCCTTCACCATCACTCACCTGCCCTGCACCCACTCGCAGCAGCCGCCGCCCGCCCGCCCATGACGACGAGGCAAAAGCAGTCGGATAATCGCTTGTCAGCAGCGCGCGACGGCCACCCGCCCTCGGCCGGTCACTGCTGCACCGCCAAAACGGCCAATCTCTGCTGTTTGCGGCGCGCCGATGATGTAGCGTGCGGTGCACGGACCCGGGGTGCTGCAAAAATGCCCCCGGGCTGGTCGGGTCGAGCTATTCCCCAACCATGGCTAGTTTTATGACAATCATAAATCCCTCATAGCGGCCAAAGGTCGGTCCTTGCTGAGTTTTTCCCTGGTTGATACGTGGGTGAGCTTCTCGCACGCTACTTAACCAGAGCCGCGCCCGCCCTCTGAACACTTCTTCACAGAGAAGGCCCTGCTTGCGGTTCCCCTTTGCCCAGCACTTTCGACCTGACCTCAACCTCATCCAAGTCAAGTCGCCCGGAAAGCCTTCTCTGTGCCCAGAGTTACCGGATATAATAATACATACGAGCAACACCCAATCCCTAATTCGACTCCGACATGGCGCCCAACGACGATGTTGAGCGCCCGCGGGCCAGCTCTGGCGCTGAGCGCCAGAAGTCCATCGTCTCCATGACCGAATTCGATGGCATGGACGAATACACAGCGCTCCAGAAGTACATCCTCTTCTACCGTGACGCAAAGGTCAACCCCCACGCCACGCCCACCGTCAAGGTCAAGAAGTGGTGGCAGTTCTGGAAGTCCGGTGCTACCACCGCTGCCCCCGTCGCCGACGCTGGCGCTGTTCCTGATGATTGTAAGTCTTCCTTCCATCGCTCTGCTATCCATTCCCTTCCCTCCCCTCTACTTCCCCACGCCCGCCTCGCGACCGCAATCGCGCATCCTCCACACACCTACAAGCGCGCACACACCACTCGCCTGCCACCTGCCTATTACGACTACTTGGCAATACCCATTCGCCTTTTGCTGTCGTTGAGCAGCAGAGGCCGCAATGTGGTCGCTGGCGTTGCGTCATGGTCCAAGCTCAAGCTCGAGCTTCCTGCCCTGCTAGCTCAGCCCGTGGCGGCAAAGCGCAGTGGAGAATCCATGCACGCCGACTCCACCAAACTATCCGCTACTGTCCTCCCCAGCCGCGCCCTGCAAAACATGCGCAAAAAAGACATTCTTGCTAACATTGCCTCGCAGTCCTCAACACTGAGCTTCGCACTGGTCTGTCCTCGCACGAGGTCGAGGAGCGCCGCAAGCGCTATGGCTTCAACGAAATCACCAGCGAGAAGACCAACCTTCTCAAGCAGTTCATTGGTTACTTCACCGGTCCTATTCTCTACGGTAAGCACCCGCCCCATCCTTGCGCAAACTTTGTTTTAGCGCAACTGCTAACGCCTAGCCAGTCATGGAGCTCGCTGCTCTTCTCGCCGCTGGTCTTCAGGACTGGATTGATTTCGGTGTCATTTGCGGTATCCTGTTGCTCAACGCCATTGTCGGTTGGTACCAGGAGAAGCAGGCTGCCGATGTCGTCGCATCGCTCAAGGGTGACATTGCCATGAAGGCCACTGTCGTTCGTGACAACCAGCAACAAACCATCCTCGCCCGTGAACTCGTCCCCGGTGACATCGTTGTCGTTGAGGAGGGTCAGACCGTCCCTGGTGATGCCCGTCTTATCTGCAGCTACGACCACCCTGAAGACTTCGAATTGTACATGAAGCTCAAGGCTGAAGACAAGTTCCACGACGCTGACCCCGAAGACGAGAAGGACGATGATGTCGACGAGGAGAAGTTCGACGAGGAGAACCCCATCACCCAGGGCCACCCTCTCGTTGCCTGCGATCAATCGTCCATCACCGGAGAGTCTCTCGCTGTCGACAAGTACATGGGAGAGGTTGCCTACTACACCACTGGTTGCAAGCGCGGCAAGGCCTACGGTATCGTCATCACCACTGCTAAGCACTCTTTCGTCGGTCGCACCGCTACCCTCGTTCAGGGCGCTCAGGACCAGGGTCACTTCAAGGCTATCATGAACTCCATCGGAACGGCGCTTCTCGTCCTCGTCATGTTCTTCATCCTGCTCGCCTGGATTGGTGGTTTCTTCCGTCACATTCCTATTGCCACTGCCCGCGAGGGAACCGACAAGTCCGTCACTCTCCTCCACTACGCCCTCATCATGTTCATCGTTGGTGTCCCCGTCGGTCTTCCCGTCGTCACCACCACCACTCTCGCTGTCGGTGCTGCCTACCTTGCTGAGCAGAAGGCTATCGTTCAGAAGCTCACTGCCATCGAGTCGCTTGCTGGTGTCGATGTTCTCTGCTCTGACAAGACCGGTACTCTCACTGCTAACCAGCTTTCGCTCCGTGAGCCCTACGTCGCTGAGGGCCAGGATGTCAACTGGATGATGGCCGTCGCTGCTCTTGCCTCTTCCCACAACCTCAAGTCTCTCGACCCCATTGACAAGGTCACCATTCTTACCATCCGCCGCTACCCCAAGGCTCGTGAGATCCTCAACATGGGATGGCGCACCGAGAAGTTCACTCCCTTCGACCCCGTCTCCAAGCGTATCACTGCCGTCTGCCACATGGGTGGTGACAAGTACGTCTGCGCCAAGGGTGCCCCCAAGGCCATTGTCAACCTCGCCAACTGCGATGAGATCACCGCTACCCTCTACAAGGAGAAGGCCGCCGAGTTCGCTCGCCGTGGTTTCCGCTCTCTCGGTGTCGCTTACCAGAAGAACGACGGTGACTGGATCCTTCTCGGTCTCATGTCCATGTTCGACCCCCCTCGTGAGGATACCGCCCAGACCATCGTTGAGGCTCAGCAGCTCGGTGTTCCCGTCAAGATGTTGACTGGTGACGCTATTGCCATTGCCAAGGAGACCTGCAAGATGCTTGCTCTTGGTACCAAGGTTTACAACTCTTCCAAGCTCATCAACGGCGGTCTTACTGGTACCACCCAGCACGACCTTGTCGAGCGTGCCGATGGTTTCGCTGAGGTTTTCCCCGAGCACAAGTACCAGGTCGTCGAAATGCTCCAGCAGCGTGGTCACTTGACTGCCATGACTGGTGACGGTGTCAACGATGCTCCTTCCCTTAAGAAGTCTGACTGTGGTATCGCCGTCGAGGGTTCCACCGAAGCTGCTCAGGCTGCCGCCGATATCGTCTTCCTTGCCCCTGGTCTGTCCACCATTGTTCTTGCCATCAAGACTGCACGCCAGATTTTCCAGCGTATGAAGGCCTACATTCAGTACCGTATTGCTCTCTGTCTCCACTTGGAAGTCTACCTTGTCACCTCCATGATCATCCTCAACGAGACTATCCGCGCTGAACTCATTGTCTTCCTTGCTCTCTTCGCTGATTTGGCTACTGTCGCCGTCGCTTACGACAACGCCCACTCTGAGCAACGCCCCGTCGAGTGGCAGCTGCCCAAGATCTGGTTCATCTCCGTCATCCTCGGTCTCCTCCTTGCTCTCGCCACCTGGATCGTCCGTGGTACCCTCTTCATCCCCAGCGGAGGTATCATCCAGAACTTTGGTGCTATCCAGCCCATTCTGTTCCTCGAGGTTGCCCTTACTGAGAACTGGCTTATCTTCGTCACTCGTGGCGGCAAGACTTTCCCCTCGTTCCAGCTGGTTGTTGCCATCTTGGGTGTCGATGCTCTCGCTACCATCTTCACTCTCTTCGGCTGGATGTCCGGTGCTCCTTACCAGACCAACCCCCCTACTATCAACTCCCGCTTCCGTGATGACGGATGGGTCGACATCGTCACCGTTGTCGTCATCTGGGCTTACTCTATTGGTGTTACGATTATCATCGCCATTGTCTACTACATGCTTAACCGCATTGAGTGGCTCGACACTCTCGGCCGCAAGGACCGTAGCCGCAAGAACCCTGCCATTGAGAACATGATTGCTGCTCTCAG